GGATCGTTTGAGTTCTAGATACTAAAAACGAGCCTGTAAGTCGATATTCTGTATATTGTCATCTCCTCGAATGCGTAAATTGGTTGAATAGGTATGTAATTAGTATGTTTTGGTTCTTTGGGCCCAAGGTTCCTAGTACGATGTATATCCTTGTAATAGATTTGAATAAAAATTGTATTGGAGGTTAACCGATTCGCGTATCATTATTATTATATTATTGGCAGAATAAACACGTTAGGAATTCCACTGCACGTTAATTCCTCAGCTGTATAATAAGTTTGGAGTGTATTTAAATTCTGACTGCAAGGTGATACTTGAAGAATATCCAATCGACTCAATATATATAAGTTATCTTTGGGAGCCCTTTTGTTAAGAATGGTCGCCTCGAAAGTTAAATTAGCGAAGATGATCTGAAATACCCTCTATGTATGGGTCTGGAGATGTTATGCAGTCAGCCGATATAAGATAATTGGTTGTGAAATTCAAATACTCGGTTTAAGTAATGTCATCTGGTCGCTATCACTGGTACAGGGTGATCCTGAAAGTAAAGGAGTAATCAAACGAAGATGGTCATTAGGAAAATAGTTTTTCCACGACATAGCGGTGTGTTTACTGGGTAAATTGAATTTTTTTCTGATGCAAAATTTTCCAACAATCCCTTCCCGGCACTCCCCAATAAAACTGAGATTTAAGTAATAACATTAAAAATATCGATTATTACAAGGTAAATTAGTTTTTTGCGGCATATTTTGAAAAATCGCTATTTATAATTTTCGTTATTTTGCTGGCAGAGGCCGGCCTGTCCGCCGTAGATCTCCACAACACAATAGCTATGGAAATAAATTTTTTCACTAAAGCCTTCTGCTAATAAAATGGTAGATGTGCAGGCAATAGTCTATTTTGAAGTTAGATTTACTGTGAAGAATCGATAATTGATGAAATAATTCGATATGTTTCGGAGTCCTAAATTTAAAAAAAAAAACCGTTAGATAGCGCTCAGTAAACTTATTATTTACTTGTGATTTGTTTTACATAATGAAGACGTACCGTCAATTGAAATTAAATAAAATTAATTTATTTAATCTCGCAAGTGCAGGAAAGACGAGCCAAAATTACTCGTGAGATCGATATTAAACTTTTCGCTAATAATACTGACCTGCATTAACCTCAAAATGCGCTTTAAAAATTTCAGGGCATACTGAGTTTTACAACCAACTTGTTTTTGATTTCGGTATTTCCACCAGCAAGCGGTTAAAAAAGCGTAAGAGCTTAGGATAATTCAGAGTTTCCGCAGCACTGTTTATAATTAAAAAATGTTGAAGTGAAATTACAGGGACTTTCAGATAAAATACTAATAGAATAGATTAGACTTGGGGTGTATTTCCGAGATAATTTTTTATTCTAAATGTGGGCGACGAACAGGTCTTTACATAAAGCTATAAGTGATCAATTCAAGCAAGGGTATTGAATATTTATGAGTTAAATTACTGACAGGATAGTTCATATGTCCCCCGAAATCTGGTTTACAGTTTACCGCTTCATACAACCCCCCAAAAACTGGCCAAGCCCTAATCTAACAAGAGTAATATATGAGTGCTACAGGAAGGGCCAAGAATAACATGTCAAGTGACCGCAGATCCTACGGACTGCAATTCAGGTGGGACCTTTATAAATTCGGGCACGGTGGGAATAATTCGGGGCGGATCCGTGGATGTTGCCTCTTCTCAATATTGCCCTAGAAAGTGGTACAAAAACAACATCGAGTGTGTGTCTTATATACCGCGGCCAAAAATGACTTGATGGATTATGGGCACTTGCTTGCGTGCTACGGGCCGAACAGAAATCGGGCCATCAGGGAGTTCCTTGCGTTTTTCTTCCATATTAGTGCATTGGTAAGGGTTATAATAACAACTATTATTATTTAATATATAATAAAAGATAATTAACACGACAGAATATCCCGTAGGATAGATTATATAATTCCAAGAGATAGAGAAAATGCTTCGGTAGAAACAAGGCCAAAACTACAGGCC